CGTGGGCCACCAGGAAGAGCCCAGCCCTGTCTGGTTTGGCATGCGCCATGCTTTAAGCTGAAGAATCCGACAGGCAAAGATGGTGCCCCGTTTCTCTTGCGGTCTTGCATTAGCCCCGATTCTGGCGATATTTTCCAAGCATTCGTACACAGGCCAGCTTTGGCTGTGCTCCATTCTACAGCTGTGGAAAAGCAATTTTGGGGGGGGGGGTGCTTTCACCTCATTAAGGAGCATGCACAGAGACCTATCCGTATTCTATTACTAAGTCTGATTGGGGTAAGGATGCAACTCGCCTTCGCCTCCATCCACTTCGGGGCAGGAACCCGCCGCTTCTCTGCCTCCTCCCCCCCCCCACCCTCACATCAAAACAATATTTTGCATGTTCTCCGGATTAGTGGGAGAAGCCGAGCGAGGGGAGGAGAAGGAGAACGGAAAGGGGGCGATCGGAGAACCAGAGCTAAGAAAAAGCCCCCTCACCGTCTCCGCTGGCGGGGCTGAAGCTCGCCCAACCCGGCTGGCTCAGCCGCTCCAATTTCAGCTTCTTGGAAAATCTTGAAGCGGCCGAAAGAAAAGTATTCAGGGAAAGCAAGTATTTTGCATGCACGACGAAGGGGCATGATGCACGCACGGTTAGGCATATTGCGGGTGCAGGGGCTTCCTTCCTGTAAAAATTAAAATGAACTTCCTCGCCCTTCGAGGAACTTGGCTCAAACATTTTTCAATCTTCTAGCTCTTCGGTTCTGTCATTTGACTCAGAGTTTCACTCCTACTATAATCAGATCCCTCCATCCACCCAGGTCCAGCTTCCGAGTTCTCTGCTCCGGCTCCACAGTGCAAGCCACACGCCAGTCTCGCCCTGATCTGTGGCTCAGGCAAACCGCGCGCAGGGACTCCCAGACGGAGCCTAAGCCAGAGCCCTGGCAGCTCGTTCGGGGAAAGGTGCTTGTGCGCCTCAGGACCCCGGAACACACCTGGGCAGCCCCGTCCCCTCCTCCTGAACGCCCCAGCCGCAATCCTACAGCTCCCTGGAGAGACACGCACCGGGCGCTGGAACCCATTCATTCAGAAACGCAGCTCAGTCCTTACTTCGCGGCGGCAGCCCCACCCCATTGAACTCAATGGGAAGCCTCTGGGGAGCGATGCAACGGGTCCAAGCGCACATGCCGGACTCCTGAGGTGGGGTCTCTCAACGCTCGCGCGTGTGACTTCACGGTTGCAAAATGCAGAGGGGCAGCCAGGCTGGGTTTTTTAGGGGGGGGGGGTCCTATTCTGAGTCGGGCCCTAGACCACTTCCTACAAGTTCCGTCCCCACCGCAGGACCCGCTTTCCCGGGGGTGGTGGGGGCTTCAAGGCTAAAATGCATGAATCCTGGGGACAGCCGGCTCTTGCCCACCTTCACGGCCTGCCGGGACGGGGCTGCCCCGCAGAACAAATTTAAATTTAGTCTCCAGTAAAGAGCACTGGGTGGAAAGCAGGACCGTGAGCGGAGAGGATCAGAAAACCTCTTTTCCAATTGCCCAGTGGATTCAAATTCTGCTCTCTCTCTCTGTATATTAAAATACAGGGGAGGATACACGGCTTCTACATTCTCAGCTGCAGGGACAGAAGGGGCGCTGAATTATTTTACCTACAAGCCCCCGCTCCCCGGCGCCAAAGGCTGTTTTTACCGATGTGCTTTGGAGCACAGGGACCAAAAATGAACCGTAGGCCCACGGCTGAGAGAATCTGTTCGGATGTTTGATCTGAAAACCCACATGGCTTGCAAACCAGGGCCGATCTTTTTCTGCAGATAAAGTCCCCCGGGATCTGGAAACATGGACTACTGTATTTTATTTTAGTTTTTTCTCGTTTTGTTCTCTCCACCCCCCTCCTTTTCCATGCGCTATAAACTGTTGAGTCTGGGGCTGGTATTCAATCAAGACCTCCAAAACAGACGCTTCCAGATTGGATCAAGTGGTGAATGGCGAAGGGTAGAAAGGAGGAAAAAAAAAACCCTTGAGTGCCTTTAAAATAAATAAATAAACACAGCCAAAAGTGTAGGGGGGAAAAGTGTAGATCTTTCCACTTTTCTTTCTCCTTTCGGTCCTCTGTCCTCTTAGAATACACAGACATTCACACACACTCACAAACCAAATAGACACAGCTTGGTGCATTAAAGGGGGAAAAAAAACTACGGGCAAAAAGCTGGCACGTATTTGGATTCGAATTGTCCAAGGCCAAGAAATTTCAGTTCCAAGGACTGAAGAATGCAAGGGGGAGAACACAACCTGATGAAACTGACAAATATTAATTTAAGCTGCGGTCCTTTCTCTCTCTCTCTCTCTCTCTCTCTTTCTCACACACACACACACACACACACACAAAACACCTGAGAATAACATGCTTGACTTATTTCGGATTACATATTCATGGGCTGCCGTGCCACTCCAAGCACCTCACTCACATGAAAGAGAGGAATGTCTGAATACAGAAATGTTGGAAATAACTTGATGGAAGCTGGATTTATTCAAAAAATGCAGGGGAGAAGGGAGATGCGAACGGTGCAAGAGGTCGGAGCTCTGTTTATTGGGAAATTACGGTATTAATTGCAAAGAAACTTCCCTTGCCATCGTGTCAGCCCTGCGCCAATAGGTCTGATCTTCTGTGCAGTTATAAACTCATTCGCGCGCGTACACACACACACACACACACAGCTCAGCAAGACTTTCTTTGGATGTTGGCTTCTCTTTTTAATGGGTTTTGTTCAGTGGCAGCCCTGAAAAAGCAAACTGGGAGCCGGGCAAACAGACAGCCTTGCCCGTTAAAATCTCCGGTCAGGTTGACAGGAGCGCCAGCAATATCAAAAAAGTGTTATAGTGCTCGACCCCCGGGGTTTTCTGTTGTGGGGCGGAATATGGGTTGAAACCCACCTAAGTTTTTAACTCTGCTTGTGGGGGTGCAGGGGAGACAGTCCCCTCAAGGTGGAGGGTAGAAAACCCTCGGCAATTGGATGGATCAGGAAAGAATTGCTCTCCTCGAAAAGCCATGGACACTTTAATACGGATTGTGATCGCTCTATTTCAAGGTATAAGCCTGTATCTGGAGATTGCATTTGATTATTATCTATCTTTCTAGGATCCCACCTCTTTCCTGGGGTTCCCCACAGGAAACTTTATTTCAGTGTGAGCAATTTTCTGCAGCGTGAAGATGACGGGAGAAAGTATCGAAACTCAGATAGTCTTGACCTTGAACAAGGACTGGAGAGATCTGGAATAAGGCACAGGGAATCATAAATAAAGCCGAGCGGGAGAAAAAGCAGCCACCCCGGACAGAGTAAGACAGAAGGCCGGCTTCTTCCCGTCTGAGATCATGCAAGGATCGCCCACCACCCCCACCAAATTTTAACAAAAAAATCCAGGCTTCAAAAATGGCTTTTCAAAACCAAGCTATTTTTCCTTGGAGACTTCAACCTCCACTGCACAAGACTTTGCCTGTCTGCTCAGGAGAAAGTCACCGTGAGAGCTTATAGCTAGGTAGGTATGAATAGAACTGAAGTCTTGGTAGGTTTTCTAACTGATCTGCCGCGAAGTTGAATACTCGGGAAAGAAATTCCGTTGAAATAACCCAGAACTTGCACGGATTTCGGATTAAAGCAACGGGGGGGGGTCCACATTTCTCCGTCCCCCACTGTCCTTACCTGAATCACGTTTGTCCCCTCGCTTGCAAAGGAATTTACATGTATTTTACCCTTAGCAGGTTTGGTGGCACAAAATCCTAGCATTCAGGATTTAGCAGAATTAAACAACAGACGAGGTCGGAGCAAAATGGAAGAATGGGAATAATAAAAATACAGACAATTGCGCCTGGCAAGTCTAGCCTACCTCGCCAGACAAAAGGCAAAAATTAAACGCGCTGACCTCCACGCAGCTCCAACTTAAAAACAAACACACAAACACTGGAACAACTTAGGAACGTGTCAAAGCCCACAATTATTTTGACTCCAATAATAAGACTAGCGATAAAGTTTTAAAAGGGGGTGGTGGGGAGGGGGGGTCATTTGACAGTTAGATGGCACACGCATTCGAGAAAATTGGCACTTGTTAATAGAAGTCGAGGGCAAAGAGGAAGACATTCATTTGCCACCGCAAAACTCGCTCCCCCCCCCCAGCAGGAGACAGGGAATGGAGCAGCTTGGGGGAGGAAAAGTGCCCCAGCCTCAGCTCCAGAAAAGCCCGTCACCTCCTCAAAAAGAGAGATCCCCGAACACAAAAGGCGCCTGAACGTGTGGATTTGACCGCCACCCGTGTCAAGGTCACGGCCGGCGCCCCAGCTCCCTTGGCTTGCTCATTTCTGCCCGCTTCTCTCCATTCAATCTCCCTTCGCCTCGGTGGTTTTATTTCTCTCTTCTGCCCCCCAACGACCGCCCCCCCACCTCCTCCGGATCTAGGGAAACCCCGCCGCTGCCGCCAGCCGTGAATCTCGAGCGCCCACTACTTCAAAAGCGGGGAATTAGAAAAGGAGGAAAAAAAGATTTCACAAGAACTTGGAAACGACTCGGGGACGGGGAGAGGAGGGAAAAAGTTGCGAGCGGCAACTTCGCCCTTGGCTTTCGCTTCTGCCGCCTCTTCCCCCACCCTTGTGCGCGACCCCCCCTCCTCTCGCCTCCCCTCGCCGTCCCGGAATGCCTCGAGATACGGAGAGGGGGTGAACCCCGCCAATCGCGGGGTGCGGAGCAGGAAGGCGGCAGCGGAGACGCCAACTTCGACGGAGCAAAAACTGCGGCCAGCCCGGCGGAGAGCCGGAGGCGGCGGCGCCGTCCTTCCTCCGGCGCGGGCGCAGCTGGTCCTCCCGCCGCCGCCGCCGCCGCGAGGAAGGGGCCAGCCGAGGCGGCGCTCGGAGCCTGGTCCCGGGCGCCCCCGCACCGCACCCGGGGGAGGCAGCCGGGCGCCCCGAAGCTCGCCCTCCCCCCTCCCCGCCGCCAGATCTCGCCGGGGCTCTCCCCTCGGCGCACGGGCACCTACTTTTGGGCAGTTTCCTCGCGCGCGCCTTGGATCTCATCTTGCCGGCGGAGTGGATCCCTCCTTGAACCCGCAGCAGCTCTGCCGCGCTATCTTCATCTCCTCAGCATTGTCAGTTTGGACACCTTCGCACATGCGCACAGAGCATTCAATCTGACACCCTCTCCGGGGCCAAAAAAACTTTGCAGTGTATTCATCACCATCAGGGGTTGGGGAGCGCGTGTGAGTGTGTGCGCGCTTTCCCCCGCGTCTTCCCCCACCCGCTCCCTGTTCTGGTCCTATCCTTCTCTTCAGATCACTTATCTCTCCCCCTCCTCCTCCCGCGGCACCATCGCCGGCTCCCCCCCTTCCTTGATCTGCCCCTTTAAGAAAAGCAACGTCTCTCTTCCAAACCCTTTCCAAGCTGCCCTTCCCTGTGGACAATATTTAAAGATGGACCATCCCGAAAGAGGTGACTTTGCCTTTTTTTTTTTTTTTTGCTTCTCGTTCTGATAATTCAAAGTTATGTCTTGAGGGGGGAGCCGGTGAATCGCTGCCCTGCGCAGAGACATTTCTCCCTTCCTCGCTGTTCTTTCTCCACTCTCGGGATCCTTCCCTCCCTCCCCTTTCTGCAGCCCGCGCTTCTGCATGCTTACTCGCAAGTAAACCCCTGCCTCACTCTAGAGCCCTGACTTGCCATTGAACTAGGGACGGGGCGCGCAGCGCTGGCCCCGTTTTATGGGGAAGCCGATTCTTTGGCTAGGCAGCACAGAAGGCTCACCAGGTAGGCGCGCCGGGGCGAACCGCGGAAAGCTACGCGGTTGATTTCGGAAACAAGAGCCGCTGAGTCCGACCGAGTTTACTCCTCAGCAATTGTGCCTTAGAAATGCAAAGAGCAGCGGGATCCACAGACAGGAAGTTCCTGGCTTATGCATTTGGGGAGGGAATCATTTGGCTATGCCCCGCTGTCATTTAAAAAGGTGGAAGCGCTAAACTCAAGCGCATTTTTAAAGGGTTATAATAAAGAGTTCTCCATTTTTGCTCTCCCCTCCATACGAAAACGACCATCTTTCCTAACGATTTAGAGGGTCCAGGCTGTTCTCTAATTCCTCTCCCCTTTTCCAATAAAATGCACGTTCATTGATGGATGGATTGATTGATCTATTTGTGTATGGGTATTGCTTTTCGCCTCGCCACCCCCTCTTGCTCCAAATAACTCTGTCTTTTCCTTATCCCGAGTATTTATTAAATACTGAACTGATGGGCAACACTTCCCGGCTGCGATCCTCTCCTGAACCCCAGCCTGGCTTACTCTGAAGTAAGCCTTCGCCTCGCCGAAAGGGACTTGGTCCTGAGCGCGCGGGCATCGCAGTTCGTGCTGCACTTTCGAGGGGACCTGAGTCCCAGGTAAGTAACTCCCACCGGGTCGCTGCTGATGCGGTCCGACTCGGAGAGGGACTGGGGAGCACGTGTGAACACTCGACTCGGCTCCTGAACTCGGGTGAAATGGGGGCGCAGCTGTACTGAACTGAGCGGCCAGGGCGCGTAGGCGCACGGAACTCACCGATCGCGGGGCTTGGTCGTTCCCTTTTCTTCCCCGCTCTCCCAACGACTTCATTTTCCCCTTTCCTGGTTTCTATCCTGGCCCCATAGAACGACAAATTTGAGGAGCTCCTATCCCCCAAAAAGCAAAAGCCCACCTAGCAGCCCTCTGGTCTTATCATGCCTTCTTTCCATCGAGAGACTAAAAACTCCTTTCTCTTGTCCCGATAACATTCTCTGTTCTAAGAAACTTCACCTGCCACGCTTCCTACATTTCTAACGTTTTCTCCTCTCACCCCTTCCTTCCCTGGCTAATTCCATAATGGCCTTTGCACCTGAATGTTGTGGACTCTCGCTTTTTACAGGTCTGGGGACTTGCTATAAAAAGATTCAAGGAGGTAAGTTTCTTTGTCAGGACTGGGGTGCTTTAAGTAAATAGAAATATGAACGGCTTATTTTGTTGTTGCTTTGTTTTGCTTTTTTAAAAAACTTCATGATTGGTGGTAAACACCTACTGGGAAGAGATGAAATGTGAAGCGGGTATATCCTGAATTTAGTAGGATCTCCTTCAAATGGAGACCCCCGAGAATAGGCGCCAGGTTAACTAAGAAGGGTGCCTTGGAGATTCAAATCACACATTTGCAGTGGGATTAAGAGAAAGAACCAGCAAAAGACTGTCTCATAAGGCGTTAAAAAAACTGTATTTATTTTTAAGAAGAGGGAAGGAGAGAAGGAAGGACTGGGGGTGTTCCCACTCCGAAAAAGTGGGGGCTGGCAGGTGGGGGGGGACTACGGACAGAAGAAGAACGAGTGGAATTTTTTCCAACACTCTCTCAGTATGCATAAAAAAAATTCAGACAGTTTTATGAATTTAGTCTTTTTATGGACTAGCTTTTAAAAGGAGGTTTTAATTCTCTAGAAAACCCGCTGGTGGCAAGGTGGTAAAGCTACTCCGTAATCTGTACCCCAATAATCTTAACACCTTCTGAGTGCATCCTATTTATGCAAGAGTAAAACCACTGTATTCAATAGGGCTTCTTATACCTGCTAGATTGCGTCTAAAGTTGTAGCCTTAATCAGATTATAAAATTTCTTATGAACAAGATCCCTACTGCAGGCAACATATCCATTTTCACATGGTTTAAATGAAACCGATAATTTAGCAAGGTTTAAAGATGGTGAGAGAAAAGCCAGAAACAGACAAACAAAATGGTTCTTTGCAAATGAATTCACAAAGGGAATTGGTTTTAAATGAAGGCTAGTGAAAAAGAAGCAAATCTTGGTTTTCCCCAGAACTGTTTCTAAACGCAATTCAATTTAGGCTTGAATTCGGATTGGAAATGGCAAGGTTTTCACATTCAGAAATATACATTGGGAATTGGAAGGCAGATTTTCAGCTTAGCAGAGGAGAAATACCTTCCCCCTTCTCATCAGGAAGGTCGAGTTTCTCAAAATGAAAATGTTCTTACCTTACAACTGCGGTGTACAGATGAATTCATGGCCTCAGTTTATACCGGTTTTAGCATGGGCCCTCATTATTTCCTAGAAATAAAATTAGGAGATTAGGAGTTGTAGGCAAAGCTGCAAACTGAGGTATATAGGAATGTAAAGGACTCCTAGCTAACCACCGCGGGGCTGGGAAAATGTTGGAACTCAGCAGAGCTGCTTCTCCGCAGAGGATGGGGTCAGTAAAAAGTCAGCACCACAGAAGGATAGCCCGCTGTCGCATAGAGGCAGCAAACAGCTCTCTGCCCCGAGGAAGCTACATTCTCTTTCTCTTTCCTGTTCATTGATATTCCGGATTAATGTGTTTTCTCTCAGGGTGGGGAACCAATCCATTGAAATCCAACCGGATCAAATGGGTCTTACTTTCAAGTAAACATGCACAGGATCCAGCTGCGGGGGAATTCCCGAGAAGCGGTTACCCATTGAAAGCAATCGGAGCCCAGGGTGAATGGAGCGAACTGAAGGAAGCAGGGGACCAGAGAATGTGGCTGCAGTTTGAGGAAGCAAGCATCTCAAGGCCTCTGGAATTTACTCATGAGTAAATATGCTCCTCACGGCCTCGGGCATCCTGCAATTCGATCCTATGCATGTTTATTCTGAAGGTAAGACGGGAGTGCAACGGGATTGGGACCGTAACCTTAAATGCTTGCGTTTTATCAGGCTTGTGTTCAAGGGTGAATTAGACTGGAGTCACGTAGGCCTGCAAGGGGGAAGAATTATTGCTGCCACGAGTAATACTCTGTGCTCCCAGAGGCCCTGTGGGTTGTTGCATCGGGCAAAAGGAAAGAGTAGGCTGCGATTATTACGAGCGCTTGGTGAGTGCTTGGGTTCCCGGCCCAGCGCTTTCACCACTAGGACACACTGCCCTGCCCCAGGAGCCTAGGGAGCTTTTCAAAACCTTTTCAAGGGACAAGCCCGGAAGTTATTATCACCTTGCTAATAATCACACCGAAACTTGCATACACCCCCTAAGTGTTGCTTGCTATTTACAAAGCTCTCTTTCTAGCAAGGGACGAGGCAGGTCGGTCGCCCTTGTGGGGCTGCGCCCGGTGTCCAGGCGGGGCCCCCGAGCGGGGAGGGGAAGAAACGTCAGAGACCCGGGCAGGAGCGGCCCGCCGCCTCCAAGGAATGACAAGAGAGGAAATGGCGCAATTTGTCTGCGAACCTTTGGCCAATCTCACCCCCCCCGCCCCCAACGCACACGCTCGCTCCCCAACCGGGCGCACCAGGGTCCGTTGCACCAGTCACGTGTGAAAGACCTAAACCGAAGCCAGGTTTGAAGGCGATCTATCATGTGAGCTTTTCTAGCCAAAATCGCAAACGGGTAGCCCTTAGCAGCAGCCTGCGCTGAGAACGGAGAATCGGTTGGCCTAGTTAGCGTTGGCCCCGGGAATCACCGCGGCCACCCAAGCGAACGGGGCTGAAATGCGGAGTATGTCAAAGGGCCGCTCGTACAGGGGTCTGTTCTGAAGGGCAGCCAGTTGTAGAATACACGCGTCTAGGTTCGGCCGGTTTTAGGGATGCCCACGTCGGTTCCTATTTGCCCCCATCCCTGAAACTGCCTGCGTGCCCGGGTTAGTTTCCTTGTCCCTCTCCGCCTGATCTACCTCGCAGGGCTGTTGGGAGCAGAGCATCAGGTCGACTGTTGAGTTCTTCGCAGGAAAGGAGGGCTAGAAACAGAATCAAAAGGCAGGGGATTCACTACCTGCGCTTAGAGCGATTTTTAATCAAGTTCTCAGATGCACCTTGGAATAAAGCTCCATTGGAGCCGCTGGGGAGTTGCCTTTCTGGCCAGCCCGCCTCCGGTGTGTCCTGAAACGCCCGAGCCGTGCACAGGCTGAGAAGCCCCGTCGATTCCGAGGGGGAAGACTTGCGAGCGCCAGCACGGAACGGACCTTGCGGCAGTGCGGAAAATGACCGCCCAGCCGTTTTGAAATCAGACGCTCGCGATTAACGCAGGAGCTTAGATATAAGCAAGGCTTGCTTCGGAGGGGACAGGCGAGAGCTTTGGGTGCGCTTCTGCTTTCACTGCTGCGCGCTATTTCTCCCCCTCTGGCCAACTCCCCCTCCCCTTTGGAAAGGATCCAAATTGTGGCC